ATATATATATTTAAATATAGCAGTAATTAATTGTTTTTATAACCTTAAACAAGTAAAATGGCAAAGCCGTATTTCGGACAAGACTATGTCTCGGAGACTCACTACTAAGTGGAATCACTTTGACACTCAAGCGGGTCTTGTTCTCATTCTCCAATCTTCTTTGAGCGCGATTGTTCAAACTTTGCCAGCCATGACCACGAGGTCGTCCACGGTGCATTTTTGGTGAAATTAACCTATCCCAGTATACCCTCTCCAATGTCAAAATTTCTTTTCATTGCGTGATGGCCACAGTTGAATTTTTGTCAATGCGTAACAAAAATTTCCTGTTTTTGAAAAAAAAATAACTGTGGCTATTGTATCGTCCGAAATTATTTTTTTATTTTGCATAAACAATATACAGTTTAACCTGATTATAACGTCATTGGATGTAACGACAACCCTAATATAACATGTGTAGTGGCGTGGCTAAAATCTGAACATGGCATGTCCTACCTTGTCCACGATGTCCATGTTGACCTCGACCACGTGTTCTGCCAGTAAAAATTAACTGAGAAATGATCCAGGCAAATAATTTACATAATTTGGATCGGCTACGCAATATTTACAATAGCATCGGGATATAATACAAATCCAAGATCGGCATGGCTGTCAAATCAAAAGGTTAACTAAATGAAGTAAAAAGATGTCTCTCCTCATTAGAGTTTAGGAGCAAAGTGAGGTCAAAGGGTGAAGGTGACGTGGTGGTGCCCTCTGTCCTACACATCAAATTTTTATCAGTCCCACAATTTTACTATACTAGATAATGTTAAAAAAACCCACCTGTATCAACATAAAACTGTTTTAACGTCATATTTGAAGCACTTCCAAATTTACAAAATTAGATTACAAATTTTATTTAACATAGAAGAAACTACGTATTCAGTCCTAAGGTCAGAGTTCACTTCTTTGAATGACTGCGGGTGGTACTCTCCTCCACCTGACTTCGGGGGAGTGAGCTGTTTTGTCTGTTTGTAGAAGAGGGTCGCCATTTTGTATTTTATTTTGACTCGATTCTCGGTCCCCTGACTACCTACGAGTCTGGATTTTTTTATGAGCAAATGATTTGGTCACCTAATACTCTGTACCAAATATCAACTCTTGACATGTTCTCCTTGATACCTCTATGCTGGTAAGAACATCGGGCAGTACGATTTTATAAAAAAGACACAGTATTGTCAAAAATGCCTACAAATGCAATGTAGCATTATATCCAATATAATATTAAATATTAATACAGTATTACCGTATAATATATGTTATATTAATAAATTTTTGTTATTTAATTTGGCTTATGCATCTATAAACACGAATTCTTAGATGCCATTATATTACGTGAATGACAATTACCGCTGTTTTTATTAATTAATTTGATTTAAATTCGACTGCGGCGCGTACCGAAAAACGGAAATGGTATCTTTCCCACACGAGCATCGAAATGTATTTTCAATAGCAACGTCATCGATGATTCGTGTGGTGACGTCTAATAACTCGAGGCTGTCTCGGCGCCACTAACTTTTGAATTGGTAGCCCTATCGTTGATTGGTCGAACCGTCGACTTTATCATAGGAAACATTAAAAGTCGCGTCTTGCCGAGCATGTTGTTCGGCAACCGAGTTACCGCTCGACAATTGAGACAATTTTGAGTTTGAAATTCTGTTCGTGAAACGAATTGGTCGATAAGTGAGTCGTTGGAAAACCGGGGTTTGACTGTATTATATATAGGCATAAAAATTATAAAATCTCACTGTCGTCCGTCTGCTGTCCGTCCTTAATCTCGAACACGGCGTTAGATATATGAAAGTCAAGACAAAATATAGAAGGCTTGGGAGCAGGAGACCTTCATTAATTAATAACTATATCTGAACTTCCGATGCAAACTGGAAATCAAGTTACAGGTATTTCAATTCAAAAATTTCCCCTGAAAAGAGTTAGATAATGACCGGCAGGACTCTGTTATTAAGAAGAAAAGTATGATGAACAGGGGTAAATCAATTTTAAATTTACTCCATCGATCTCAGACGAATTATGAAAATTTCAAGCAACTATCTTCCTGACTATCCACGCGTTTATAACTTTTCTAAATCGTATTCGTTTCAGTTATCTTTGAATGTGAGTATGATCATGCGCAAGACGTCCAGACCCGAGTTAACTCGGGCAAGTTACATAGCGTTACATAAAACTTGGTTTTTTCGGCCCCGAATTTTTTTTTAATTTTTGGAACGTTTTTTGTTTCCAAATTTTTTCAAAAATTTTTACCCGTGCAAAAAAATTTTATCGCGATTTTAATTTCAATTAAGCGCGATTAACGCTTAATTGTTTTTTAATGGGATTTTTTAAAATCAAATTTAATTAATCGTTCTAAAGTTGTAGTGCACGGATTTGACTTCGATAAAGTTATTTAAAGCTACTTTCTGATGTCAAAAACTACCTCCAATAGTTTTTTAATGAATATATTTTATAATATATAAGTTTAATTAAATCGGGGGGGTCGAAAATTGCAATTAAAATTTTAATTTTTTAAAAATATTTAAAAATATACAGCCAGCTAGTATTCACTCTACTTTAAACCCTTGTCCTCCCGAGACGTCTATGAGAATGCCCCTGGAAATCCGACACCCAGATGATCTCAAGGTCATCCAGCTGTGTAAACAATGACTCATCGGTGCCAAATTTCACAGAAAGGTGAGACAAAGGAAGTTAAACTTTGAAGCTTTTTCTTCAAAATTAACTCATTTCTTTCGTTTTTTTCAGTTTTAAGTATTTTTTATGCTTAATTACATTAAATTAATTAATCAGTGGGCGGCAAATGGTTAATTAATTATTTAAGACAAAATATTAGTGTGAAGGTATTTTTGGAAATTCTCCTCGCGGGGGGAGAGGGAGGATTAATGCTCAACCTGAAGAACGTCTTCTACTGTACTATTTTAGATGCGATTTTTCATTTTCAACTTTCAAGTTTAGTCTTCATTGAGTACTTAGGTGTATTATTAAATTGATAACATTTCAGACATTGTTATGAATATTTTCATATATTTCGATTTTTTAACCAAATGTTCGAACCGTTTTAAATTTGAATTTGTTATTGCATATTGGTTCGATCATAGAACGATTGTAAACGTTCCAGAAAATTGATCATATTGAAAATAGTTCGTTTGATTCTCAGCAATTCTCATTATTCTCAGTGGTAAGTGTTATATAACAATTACTATGATTGTTGAAACACTGAATATAAATGGGGTTTGCTTGCAAAATCCGCGGGTGCGAAGCTAGTCGGTAAATATAAATGTGAAATCTTTTGTGTCGTTTTTCAGAATCAAAATTCAGGATAAATTTCAAACGACTGATGGACCCCATACTGACTGACATTAAGATTTCTTTCAATTTTCACTTATCTTTGCTCTTTTATTTATTCTGATCAATTAATAGATAAGACAATTTATATGATAAACAAGGGAATTAGTTGTTGACTATTTACGGAACCAGAGATAATGGAAAAAATGATTTTTTTTCATAGGAAATCCTTTTTAAACAAATGTAAACGCACTTTTCCTGGATGTTTCTCGTTAACGGATGTTACAATTCTCTCAATTTTATAAACCCAAACTTCCTTCAAAATCTCGCATCCAATATCTGTTTAGATGCTGGAGGAAGCCATTTTAATATCTGCTCAAGGAAGACCTTGTTTTACAAAAAGGTAATTTTTCATAAATAACCATAAACCAATAAAAAAGTTATTCGGGAATGTTTGGATTTCTTAGCAAGAGAATTACTCTGTATTTTGAAGACAGTCTTCATAAAGTAAACCATTTTTTATTTAAAACTAGCTGCAAGGATCCGCTTCGCTGGGTTTTTAAAAAGTAACGATAGTGAAGATTAAGATAATTACATTATAGCCAATCTTACCCGTTTTCACAGAATGCAAGAATTAGGTCTCCCGTTTCCAGACTAATTAGAGACCTGGTCCCGATTCTATTTCTGAACGTCTCCTGTTCACGTCAAGTCAAACGAACTATTTTCAACGTTTTTGGAACGTTACAATCGTTCTATAATCGAACCAATATTCGAATTTTGGAGATGTGGGCTTGAAAGTGGTTCTCTATTTCGAATTTTATGTTCAAATTTGTTCGAATTTAATCCGAACAAATTTGAACATAAAATTCGAAATAGAGAACCACTTTCAACCACTTTCAAGCCCACATCTCCCGCACCCTTATAGCTATCGAGACGCAACCACCCTGGTGCACGAATGGAGACTTGGTGCTACTACCACATACAAACACCATTCATGTGCGATGTGTAGTTTTGGCGGAAAAGTGAAATATAGGGACATACATGTCCATTTATATATATATATATTTAATGAAGACAAATTCAGAATATTGTGCACGTCACTTGAATTTCTACGTTTAAGGTTCAAAATTTAAATGCATTTATTTCGTAAATAGAATCGATTTTGACTACTTTTGTGATTTAATAAAAATATAAGTCTTACAAGATAATTTTTGTAAATTCCATGTATTTGATTTAAATATATAGTTGAACTGTCTATCATGAGGCGACTGGCAAAGGCGGCCTACATAAAGACAAATAAGGTGATTTATAGGGCTTCACAAACTTGGTAGTATATTATCTTAGTAGTTAAATCATCAAACTAGTACTGTTGAAAAAATTAATTGTATTGGTATCTGCTATAGCTACAGAACGATCCATTTTAAAGTTAAAATTGACCCACCAATAGCCAAGCGGTTCCGTTCCTGAACACTGGGAGTTTGTCTGTGGGTTCCTGCCTCGCCAGGACCGGCTGGCCACGTGGAGTTTTCCGGGTTTTCTCCACGCCTGAATAGGTGCCAGTTACCCTTAAAAAGACCTCCTGGAAGGCATCTTCCTAGGCAGATCCCCCAAGTGTTGCGTTGCCCTAACTTAATTAACCAAACAAAGTTAAAATTGATCAAGAAGTACCGCCAATCAACAATGTGTCAAGAGAGACTTTCTTCACTTTCAATCTTGCCCATTGAAAGAGATATTGCTGTACAACTAGAGTATTCCTCTAATTGATGAATTCAGTGCTGCAAAATCAGCAACAACAGTTTTGTAGAATCTGTATTTCTATTAGTGATAGGTGTACTGTACTAACTGTTACAATTAATTGAACACTCAAATCAAACTTTATAATTTCTGTGAAATTAAATAATGAATTTAAATTAATAGTGTAATTATATATGTGATAATGTATCATTGTTATTTTTTATTTGATAGTTATTGAATTTAAAATATGTTGATACTGTTTATCATTCTAATCTCGATGGGCTTTCTTATATGGAATGTATCAAAAGATATTTTTATTCATGTTTATGTAGAAATTTATAATTATCCTTGTTTACACTCAAGGACCAAAGAACATTTTTATGATGCAATCTGTGCTAAATACAAAAATAAACTAAGTATTCAGTTGAGACTAGGCTTACAATATAAAAATATTATGGAGAGTAAATTCCGAAAAACAGGACATTGCCAATGAGTTTTAATAACATTGAAATAAAATAATAATTTAAGAAATTAATTATTGCTTCTCCCAGGTATTTAATTTTGGCAGAAATTCTTTCACATTTTTTAAAATACAGAAAGGACCTGTCCTTGTTTTCTATACCAAATAGTAACTGTAGATGGGATGGCCAGGGCAGTAATGGAATCAACCTTGCTGCCCTTAGGAATCTGAATTTAAGTCTGTATCAAAAATCTCAGGAAGTTTTCATAAGTAGTCTGTCCTAGAAATGTTGAGCCCCATCTCTCACCATTTTCATTGTATGCCTGACTTTACCATGATGAGTTTGATTAAAAAAAGCAATCTTACTGCCGTCAGGATAGAAAGTCAAAATAAAAAACAAAAAATATTTAGTTCCAATTGAGAAGTTAATTTATTTTAATGACAAACATACACAGAAATACATTGTCATTGTTGTTTGTTTCTTTTTTTATTATTTATTATATTACTTATATTGTTTTAAATCAAATAACAGTTTACGAACTTTAATACATAATAAAATAATATAGAAACTTTTTTTTGCAGGTTAAAAAAAAATGAAATTCTCTCTGTTGATATTTTTATTTTCTGCACTTCTACAATATGTTCAAGAGTGCAAATTTATAAATTTTGGTGAAAATTGCAAACTATTTTTAAAACTTTCATATAATGATGAAAATAATACACAGCCTTGCCAAAATGCCAGTATCATTTCAGCTTATTTATCAGCAGAGGAGATTCCAGAAGACACTGTGATACACAGTGATGCGCATTCTCTAGATATTGCAGACAGAAATATACACCTATACCAAACAAAATTAGTATCTAATATTATCAAAGTGCAATATACTTTGTGGTGTAACTTTTATCATAAAGAATGGATTTTTCATTTGTTTAGAAATAATACATCATCATTTGATGTGCAATGTGTGAAAGATACAAGATTGTCAGAAGATGCTAGAATGATTAATGACTCTGATAACTGTTTTCAGCAAATTTTAAAAAATGTGTTTCAGTTTTTTCAACAAGAAATTAATTACAAAACATTCATAATTGATTCAATAAAAGTTTACTGTGATTTGATTCATATATTACAGATTTCACCATCATCAAAAAATATTAAGATTCTATATTTATCAGAAAATAAAATCTCTGAAATTCCATGTGAAGCATTTGCTTTTTTTTTAAATTTGACTCATCTATATTTAGGAAAAAATGCAATTCATAAAATTTGCAATATTTCTTTGCATAAATTAGTTGAATTACAAGAAATAGATCTATCTTTTAATGTATTAGAATTCATTCCAGAACAATTATTTCAAAATAATAGGCTGATACACAGCATTAATTTAAGTTACAATCTCATCAAAGAACTTTCTTCTTCTTTGTTGTTTTTTGCTTCCAATTTACAAGTGATAGATCTTAGTCATAATCATTTATCATTTATAAGTAAAGAGTTCTTTTCCAGGATCCCACAAGTGAAAACAATTAATTTAAGTTTTAATCAACTAAGATTTTTGGATGAGAATTTGTTTTCTAACAATCATCATTTAACTGTAATAAAGTTAAACAATAATTATTTGAACAAATTTGAGTTTAAGATGATTTCTGATCCACCTGAAATAACAACAGAAGAATTGTTTAAAGACATTCCCTTGAAGAAAAGTGAGCAAATGAATAGTATAGTTAAAAATTACATCAAGTATAAAAATACAACAAACTATAACAACATAACAATAAAAAGTACAAGACTGACTCATATTGATATAAGTCATAACAAAATTGAACACATTTCACAAGATATATATGATTCATCCATCCTTTTGGAATATTTTGATGCCAGTGAAAACCAAGGCTTGAAGGAGCTGAAAAGCTCACACTTGTTTCTTTTCTTGAAAGAATTTCATGTTTCAAAATGTGAAATTTTTCATATAGATGAGAATTTTTTTAAAAAATCTAATAATTCCTCACATATTACTACTATAAATTTTGGATGGAATCAATTGACTGTTATTCATTCAGGAAGCTTTTCAAAATTAGTTTATTTGAAAAAACTATTGCTGAATAATAATAAACTGACATTTATCAATGCTAAAACATTTTTAAATTTAAATGAATTAAAACATCTAGATTTATCTTATAATCATCTAAAAAGCTTTCCATTAAATATTTTAGCATTGAAATCTCTTCAGATTCTGAATCTTAGAGGAAATGAAATTGAAAATTTTGAAAATCCAGAACTTGTTCAGTTTCCACTGGAAAGTGCATTAGAACTATTGGATCTTTCCAGAAATTGTTTGACAAAGAAGAAACTTCTTAAAGGCAAACTTACTTTTGATAAGTTTCCAAACTTGAAATTTGTCAATCTTCAATATAATGCCCTTCAAGTGGTTCCTGAATTACCAATAAACAGAACAAATTTTACAATTCTTCTGGGATATAATGCTATAAAAAATGTCAATCTGCATGGAGAAAGGGATTATAAACAAAATCTCCATTTTAGTCATAATTTTCAAATTGATTTATGTCCTAATCCAATTGAATTGATCTGCATAAAGACCTGCATTCCTGCATCTAACATTGGCAGGAACTTCAATAACATAAAGATATCCTGCAAGAAAACTTACAATGTCATGTCCTGTCCATTTGTCAAGAAATGTTCCAATAAATTTTACAGAAAAGCATTATTTCTGGAAAAGTCAAGTCTTAAGCTATACACTTTCAAATGCCCAATAACTAAAGACTGTCCTTCTGCTTGTACTTGTTTTATAAAACTAATTCAACAAAAAACAATAGTGAATTGTAGTCATACAGGTTTGACATCACTTCCTACAACAGTTCCAGAAAACACCAGTATATTATATTTCAGAAATAATTTGTTAAACAATCTTAAATCATTTTTCACTTACAACTGGATCAATCTGAAAGAATTATATTTAGAAAACAATAAGATAAGTTCTTTAGACAAATGGCAACCATCTGACAACTTGTCCAAAGTCTTTTTAAATAATAACAAGTTAACAAGATTCAATATCAGTTTCAATAAAAGTTCATCACTAGAAATGAAACTAGGTGGGAATCCATGGATCTGTGACTGCTCTACTTTATCTTTTAAATCAATACTACAATCATCAAACTTTGATGTGAATGACATTCTTTGCCAATCTTCAGGGAAGCCCATTGTTGATACTCCAGATATTCATCTTTGCCATTCATTAATATCTAGTTACAGCTTTATTGGTTTAGCTATGGGAGCTTGCATTTTATGCATTATGTTTTTCATATGCATTCTCTTTATTTATAATAAAAAAGAAATGTTTATGGTCTACACTTTCATTCATTTTCCAAAAATATACTCTCTAGTTTGGACTGAAGAGAATGAAGAGGAACATAAACAATTTGATGCATTTCTGTGCTACTGTTCCTCAGATAGGGATGTAATGCTGAAATTGAGCCAAGAACTGGAAGAGAAAGAACCAAAATTTACTCTGTGTATTCATGAGCGAGATTGGTTGGCAGGAAATGAAATCTTATTTAACATTACTAATTCAGTGTCCAATAGTAAAAGAATAATTATCATTCTATCTGAAGACTTTTTACAAAGTATATGGTTTCCAGTGGAATTTAACCAGGCTTACTATCAAATGCTAGAAGATAAGGTGAATCGAATTATTCTGATTATTAAAGATAATCTTCCACCAATGGAAAATTTAGACAGAAAATTGCAGATGTTATTAAAAACAAAGACTTATTTGATTTGGAATGAAAGATGGTTTTGGGAAAAACTGAGACATGCTCTTCCACATAAGTCTATCTAATTCAATATTAAAACAAAGATTATTTTAAAGAAAAAAATATTAAAATATTCTTAGATACATGAATATAATTTTATTAACAAATATAAACTTGTCCTATTCTTATCTATTATTTATATGAGAAACCAGTTTATGTTTATAAGTAAGACAATTGAATGTTTGATGTTCTAACTGTAAAAAAGTGTAAGTAAAATTTACAAATAAAGTAAATGAAATACAATAACTTTCATCAAGAAAATAAATTGTAATTCTTGATTGATACACTACACAGAAATTTAATCAACATTTTTTGAAGTTTGAATGCTAAATTTAGCCTAGTTTAAAAATTCAAATTTATAGTAAAGAATATTCAATTCAATTTTATATCAATATATTTTTCAAAGTGCTAAAAACAAAAATATTAATTCAAGAATAACATCCATAGAAGACTTTAAAAATTTATTTATAGTAATATTATTAGACAGACAATTATTTTAGCATATTTAAATGTATATCATTTTGACTGCAAATTCATGTAAACTCTTTCATAAAAAAATTAATTGTACAATTTAAAAAAATTTTTTTATGCTTTTCAATTAAAAAAATAAATATGAAAATATTTATAGAAATCTGTACTGATTAGACAGCTGTTTAAACAGAAATGGTAGGAAAGAATGATGGGAATGCATATAAATTTGTAAAAATTTTATGGAGACAAATTATTCTCATTGAGTTTAACTTGGATATTTAAGAACTGAACAGTATTTTTTAATATTTATCATAATTACATGTGAAGACAGTAAAGATTTTTCTGCTGTCTTCTATTAAAATTATAAAAATCATGATTATAATCATATGAAACCATTTATTTATTAACATACATTATTATTACTAATATTCCTGCTTTGCATAGAATGATAGTCATTATAAAAGTGAAAAACATATTTTTGGCAATGTGTACATAGTACTGTATAAAAGTCATTCTTCCACATATCCAGATATCTTACTTTATAGACTAGGAGAAATAAATTTGGTTAATATGTTCAAATGCAATCTTTCAACAATTAATCCTGCAACAAATCAGGCATATTTGATCATAATTGCAAAAACAGGAGGCTATTGGCAGTGCAGAAATAAATGAATAGTACTGTAGTATGGTAATAGAATATAAATAGTAGTTTCCAATTTAAGTGGAACGCCATTTATCCAGATCCTGTTAATCTGATTTCCAGTTTATCAGGATTATAAAACATAATCCCCGTCTCAGAAGTATGAAAGCTTCTAATATGGAAAAACCTTATACATTCTAAAAAATCAAGAACTCCTTAATATATTCTTATCTAAGTGTAACATTGCAGCTTGCAAAAATACACTTGTTTTCTAAGAACTGAAATAAAATACAATGTTCATTCTTATAAATTCTGTGGGAGTGTTCTTTGAGTTTACTTAATTAATATCTTGTTGAATCTTTTGTAATATGTTAAGATTTTTGATTGTAAAAAATTGCTACTATCCTGTTGAATAAAAATGTTGTGCTTCTCATAACAGTCACTGTGTTAATAAGTTTATCATTTGTAACCTCAAGTGTTATTACACACTCAACACCCACAGCTACTATTGTTTTGCTGAGTTTCATTCATCTCCAATCTTTTGTGAAATAAACACCCTGAAAATGAAAAGAAAGTGATTGTTATGATAGAGAAGAAATTAGAAATATAAAATAAAATGTACATAAACTGTGTTATTTATGTCATTAATGAATTTTCCAGATTATCCAAATTGGGCCTGGTCCTGTTTGAGCTGGAGTTCCACTATATAATTCCATGTGACTTCATAAGAAAATATAAATGATATAAAGCTTTGATCCCTAAAATTTGTAGTGTTTATGTTTTCTCCGTAATTGCATCTTATTGGGATGCCACATTTCTTCTTTTTCTAACAGTTCATTTGCATTATGTATTTTTTAAAAATAAAATTCTCAAATTGATGGAAATAACAGATATCACAAAATTGACAAAACAGTATGAAATGTGGAAGGAATATTCTTACATAGGCAGATAATTCACCACCACCACCACATTTAATTTCAGTACTAAATTTCTCATTAAATAAGACATATTTGTATAAATACTTAGACATATGTCTATTTTTTAAATGTAAATTAACATATACAGGTTTCATTAAAATCTGTGATTGAAAGTTCATAGTCTTTGCCTTGTTGACATTCTAAAAAAATCAAATAGTATGTGTTTTACAACCAAATATTAAAGAAATAAAAATACTTTATGCATCTCAAAAATATATGATGATTATATTAAAATATAATTATTATCATATTTATAATTATAATAATGATAAATGATAAAACCTAAAAACTAGTGATAAGCCAATTATTGGAATTGGAGTCACAAAAATCTTGTCACAATTTGCAATTCTTAAAATAATTCTTCCATATTTAAGAAAATTAATTATTTGTTTCAGTTGTGTTTCAGAAATTTTTAAAATTACAATATTAAGTATTACTGGAAACTTTCACATTGACAAAACAAGAATGAAATGACCATGAATGAGGTGATGTTTGTCATGGTGGACTTCTGTCTTTCATATACTCAGTGCAATGAAAGATTACACTTAGTCAATACTAACTTTTCCATTTTACGGGAGATAGGGTGACATGATAGGATGTTTATGATGTTCTTTGAATAAAAGGAAATTAGCTGTAATTTCTTTCAGGGTAGTGTTGTAATATTAACCTTATCTGACATAAGATTACAAATTTGTTTTTTAGTACATGATAAAAGCATGCATTTCTACAATTAAATGGAAAATTTTCAGGTTTTTTTTGAAAAACTGAATCTGGATTTCCCAATAATTTTCCATCCTTAAGCTTCATGTTTGTTATTTAATGAATATACCATGCTCAAAATGTAAATCATTAATTTTTCTAAACTAAACTAAACTTTAAAAGGTATTCAAAAGAATTAGAATCACACCAGAATTAGGAGCAGAATCAGGAGAAATTATGGTATCATCCCATCATTCTAGTTTCATAATCTTTTTAAAAATTTAGGATATGGCTATGCAGATACAAGCAAGAAATTAAAGTGCGAATTTTCCATTGCATTGTTCTCATAAATAAAGCTGTGCAAAATGAAATAAAATGAAAAGTAAAAACACTATTTTTACTTATCTGTTCCAGTTTTATCTTATTATGAAAATTATAACGCAATTCTTAATTATTCATGATTAAGTTAAATTCATAACTGAATTTAACTTAAAACTAGACTAAGAGTAATATCATTTAGAGATTTTAATATGCACTAAAACTTTCTTCAACAGCATTACCATTAAATCAATATTAATAATCTTTACTTGTGATAATATCTTTACTTGTGATACATCACCTGCAGTGGCAGGTGATGTATCACTAACACAAATCAAGTAGAACTGGCTATCATCAATGACAGTTCAGAATAAAAAACCTCTTTACTTTCCTCTCAATTAAATGTTTTAGTTAATATTAATCTAAAATTGATTTATTCATAACCTAATATTTATGTAAGTTATGCTTATTTTTATGTAAGTTAAATGTCCATAAAATTAATAAAAAATAATTTTATTGTGAAAACATAATCATCTTTTTATCCAGCAGTTAATTATATACATCTATATTTTACACCTTTATATTATCTTTCTTATTTCCCAGCTTGTCCTATCAAAAACCTGTTATAAAAACAAAAATGTTATATACATTTTTAAATAATAATACAAGATTATTTAAAAATTTTAGAGTTTCTTATTGAGTTTATATTCTTATACTAAAGTACATGTGTTCCACTGATATTAAAAAAATCTTACCACTCGCATCTGGCTGTTACAGCTTCCTTTCGAACTAAACGTTTCTTATCATCCAGACATGGTGCTAACTTTTTAACAACCTCTTGTCGGAAAGGTAGGAGAATATGTTGAGGCAAAACTGTTGCTGCCTTTATACATCGTAAGGACAGTATTCTTACTTTCTGAAAGATTAAATATATTGTATAAGATAAATTTATTTTTATTGAGAATTTTTTCAATTATGAAATATATCATCTTCTTGGTTAATATTAAGAAAATAATTTCATTGACTAACCATTGAATCCATGAAAGAAGACAAATACAATAATTTAGGAACTAAAGTCTGTACGTAATTTTCAAACAAATGAGGTGATGCTTCCATAACATCCACAAGATTACTCAAAACTGAAACTAAGAGTAATGGATCTTCACAACACAGTGACCTCACAATGATTGGGAGTAACTGAAATAAATTTTAAATTAAATTTATATATTTTAATATTTTTAAAAATACAATTTAAACAAAATAAAGACTTACTGATGGTAATTCTGCAACAAGAACAGGTTTGGCTTGGAATTTTAACTGATGGCAGATTGCAGTCAAATAATAACATCGCTGATCTTTAATTTAATAATTGAATGTAAGTTTTTATATAAAATATTTTAACAACATAATAAATAAATTTCATTTGTACCTTCAGATGAATTTTCAAATTTATTTAGTAGCTGAGGAAGTGTTAACATAAAGAATTTTTGTCTGTATAATAATTTCACTTTGGCATGACATTCTGTAGTCAAAAGCTAGAAAAAAAATCAGAAATATATTTTAATAAATTAAATGATAACTTACTTATCATTTATATTATTACTTTTGCATAACCTGTATTGATAATTTAGCTGTAATAATTTTGAAAACATAACTATAGCCAATAATTATCAATTATAATAGTTTCATTCTTTACATATTTGCTGTTTTAATCAACTTCTGTTTGGCCATAAAGCATATTACATTATATTATGAAATGTCTATTTCATAATATTTTTGACATTTCTTTTTTAAAAAAACAGTTTAGACCTATTGTAAAGTTTAGACCTATTATAGTAAAGTTTAGACCTATTGAAAAGTTTAGACCTATTGTAGACTTTAAATTTTCCATCTTGTATAATCTAGAGGAATACATAAAACAACAATTAAAAGATATAGATAATTCTATCTATAGCATAAAAAATGCTGATATTGTTATTAATAAATTATTGAAATTAAATAAGGAGAATTCAGATTGCTTAATGAGCTTAGATATAAAAAATATGTATCCTAGCATAACCTGGTTTATGATAGAAAACAGTTTAAAAGACCTTGGTATCCAAAAAAATTTGATAAATTTAATAGAATTTGCTTACAAAAATAATTATTTTGAAGTTGATGGTATGTTTTATAGACAAAAAAATGGTATCAGTATGGGGTCAAAGATGGGGCCAAAATTAGCTGAATTAGTAATGANAATATTTTAACAACATAATAAATAAATTTCATTTGTACCTTCAGATGAATTTTCAAATTTATTTAGTAGCTGAGGAAGTGTTAACATAAAGAATTTTTGTCTGTATAATAATTTCACTTTGGCATGACATTCTGTAGTCAAAAGCTAGAAAAAAAATCAGAAATATATTTTAATAAATTAAATGATAACTTACTTATCATTTATATTATTACTTTTGCATAACCTGTATTGATAATTTAGCTGTAATAATTTTGAAAACATAACTATAGCCAATAATTATCAATTATAATAGTTTCATTCTTTACATATTTGCTGTTTTAATCAACTTCTGTTTGGCCATAAAGCATATTACATTATATTATGAAATGTCTATTTCATAATATTTTTGACATTTCTTTTTTAAAAAAAAAGTTTAGACCTATTGTAAAGTTTAGACCTATTATAGTAAAGTTTAGACCTATTGAAAAGTTTAGACCTATTGTAGACTTTAAATTTTCCATCTTGTATAATCTAGAGGAATACATAAAACAACAATTAAAAGATATAGATAATTCTATGTATAGTATAAAAAATGCTGATACTGTTATTAATAAATTATTGAAATTAAATAAGGAGAATTCAGATTGCTTAATGAGCTTAGATATAAAAAATATGTATCCTAGCATAACCTGGTGTATGATAGAAAACAGTTTAAAAGACCTTGGTATCCAAAAAAATTTGATAAATTTAATAGAATTTGCTTACAAAAATAATTATTTTGAAATTGATGGTATGTTTTATAGACAAAAAAATGGTATCAGTATGGGGTCAAAGATGGGGCCAAAATTAGCTGAATTAGTAATGATTGACATCGATAAAAAAATTATTAAAATTAGGGGTATAAAGACAATAATGAGGTATGTAGATGACTATTTAATAGTGTATAATAGAAATCTGATTAATAAAGAAACTATATATAATTTAATAAACAACATAGACAAGGTTATACAGTTTGATATTGAAGAAGAAGTTAATAAGAAAATTAATTATTTAGATATTACCATAGTGAATAATCCTAGAAAATTTGATTTTATAACTTATAAAAAATCTTGTAATGTAAGCAAAACTATTAATTACCATTCTTGTATTCCTGATTACATTAAAAAGAATGCATATATTGTCGAATTAAAAAACATATGTACTAGAATATCTGATAATTATAACATAAATATTAAACTAAAAGAATTAGATACCAAATTCCTTTTGAACGATTACCCAAACTTTATACTTAAAAAATGGAAAACATATTATTTAAAGAATAGATATAATACTAAGTTGAAAACTGATAAAATATATAAGAAGTTTCTATACATTAAAAATATCTTTGAAAAGTGCAGGAAAAGTATTAAGAATCATAATATTTGTTTGGCCCCATCTTTGACCAATAGTATTTCACAAAACATTAGTAAACATATTAATAATAATAGTAAAAATAATTTAGACCCTTTAAAAAAAGCTGGTGTGGTTTATAGAATTGAATGTGACTGTCATAATCCGTGTGTATATATAGGAGAAACCGGGCGTGTACTAGAAACTAGAGTTAAAGAACACGAAGCGGCCATTCGGCTTAAGTATAATAATTCTCCGTGGTTTAACCACATCAATAGTAATAATTGTAATATTAATAGAAACAATGTAAAAATTTTACATATTGAAAAAGATATTTATAAAAGAAAATTCAAAGAACATATAGAAATTAGAAAACAAAATAATAATAATTTAATAAATCAGTCGAAAGGGATGGAAATAAATTATAGCTGGTACAATCTAATAGATGGCGCTAGAATAAAATAAAAAATAAATAGTTATGTATTAAGACGTCATCACTTGATTACCGTTGTAAAGTGTTGGTGGTCTACTGTGTGACTTTGTAAAGTGTTGATGGTATGAAGTTAAAAATTTGTAGTGCTTTGGAATTATTTTTACAATTGTTTGTCAATGAATTTTTAATAATTAGTTGGTTTTGGTATGTTTATTATACACGTATGTGGAAAAAATTTTTTTAAACTTGTAAGTATAAGTATTGTTTAATATATTATTTGTATTAGCCTTATATTGTTTTATACAAAAAAAGATAATTGTAATTTTAGGATTCTTACAAATGTGTACAAAGTTTACCACCCCTACCCATGGAAATATCATTGTAATTACCACCAGCGGTTATTGTAAGTTTTTCTCCAAAATTTATAATTTTGGTGTAGATATACATCTATGTCGTGTTTTAGTTAAACATTTTACGTTCTTTGTTATTATTTTAGCACTGAAGAGGGACTGGAAAATATTAGACCAGCCCGAAATGCATTTGATGTAGTCTTTACAAAATAAATTTAATTTGCCAATAAGATTGCTGTGAGATTTGTCTACCAAGAATAATTTTGGATTACAGAGACTAAAATCGTCATATTAATTTCTTTTTTAGGTCAGTATTTTACATTAAATCACAGAAAAAACAATCAAACTTTATATTAAGTATCATTAAACTCTACTTTCCATTTTGTTTAAATAGTAATTTGTTTAAATAAAAACTAGCCTCATAGTAAAAGGGTTTTCAAAAATATCTGTTGAGAAATAAAGTACCTAATCCATAAAGTTAAAAACAGAGAAGAGACAGAATAATTGTTAGGAGGAAATATGATACATATAATATTAAATATGTGTAATTCTAATAATTCTCATTAATGAGCTGATATTAAATTTACAGAAAGATTATATTCAATTTCTTTATTTTATATTTTAACTTCAAATTATTTAAGTAAAAAATTGAAACAGAATAAGTTTGAACTATTGAGTGTTATTTTCCTGACTTGTTATATATATAACATGGGAAAGTATTGAAATCATGTCAAATTTGATCCTCTAGGTTTTTGTAAATCTCAATATTTTGGAACCTCTAAACACCCCAAAAAAATCCGTGTGTGTGTGTATGAGCATTTATTTTGTTTGATATCTCAGGATAGGGTAATGTTTAAGAAATGAAATTAGGTATGGTAGCTTGTATATAGGGAGTATTGATGCTATTAAATTTTGGTGGTTAAAGCCCAAGAAGGTGAAGAGATAGAGGAGATAATGTGTCATATCCCAAATGGTATTAGACTTAATGAAGATTTTACTTGTTATTAACATTTAAAATTTTTATAAAACTCAACACTACTCTCAAAATTAAGCATTTTGCCATTTTATAATTATTAATAATATAAAAGTTATTTTTCAACAAAATCTCATAACAGATGGTGCCATAGACAATTTTTATTTTGTGCTAATATATCTTAGTGTTCTTTGCCAGGAAAGTTGCACAACTTGCTGGATTTTTTTTGTTGTTTTTATAACACAATAATTTTATTATTATTATGTTGGGTTTAGTGGGTTATACTTGAGTGACACCAGTGGCTGTGTACTATGCCAGACCAGAGTCAAGGCATAGCAACCAAAACAAAACTAAAATTAAATAAGTGTGTCAGTGTCCATATTCAGGAATTTCCTAACAATATGGCATGTATTCAATATAGTGGCCTTCTGTAGTATGATATATGTATTTCTATTCAATTGTAATGTTCCCACGCTTTTGTGTAGTGTGTATGGTATCACACCTGTACAGGAGAGAACAACAGGTACAATAAGCACCCTATCCATCCTCCACAGATGCCTTATTTCCTGGGCAAGTTCTGTGTACTTGCTAAATTTTTCAGTGCATGTGTTTTGTACATTGTGAGTGTTTGGAATGGCTATGTCTATAATGTATGTGATTTTACTGTGTTTGTCAATGAGTGTGATGTCTGGTCTGTTGTGGTAAATTGTTTTATCTGTAATTATGGCTCTGTCATAGTACATTTTGTACATGATGTTTTCCAATACTATCTGTGGAATGTATTTGTAGTATGGTTCGTGGATGTCTAATAATTTGTGTTTGTTTGCCAGCTCTTGGTGTATTATATTTGCTACTTTATTATGTCTGTGTAAATAATCTGTCTGTGCCAGGAGCTTGCACCCAGAAGTAATGTGTTGTATAGTTTCTGGCATGATGTGACATTTTCGCATATGTCATTTGTGAGTGTTGTAGCTTTGAGTATGTGTTTTCTGTAGTTTTTAATATTTATGACCTGATCCTGTATGGCAATCATGAATCCTTCCATCTCCCCAAAGAGGCATCCTTGATCTAACCAGCTGTTTGATGCAGTTTTGTCAACAAAATCCTGGGCCAGGTCATAAGGATGCCTGCCATGGAGTGCCTTTCNGCCATAGACAATTTTTATTTTGTGCTAATATATCTTAGTGTTCTTTGCCAGGAAAGTTGCACAACTTGCTGGATTTTTTTTGTTGTTTTTATAACACAATAATTTTATTATTATTATGTTGGGTTTAGTGGGTTATACTTGAGTGACACCAGTGGCTGTGTACTATGCCAGACCAGAGTCAAGGCATAGCAACCAAAACAAAACTAAAATTAAATAAGTGTGTCAGTGTCCATATTCAGGAATTTCCTAACAATATGGCATGTATTCAATATAGTGGCCTTCTGTAGTATGATATATGTATTTCTATTCAATTGTAATGTTCCCACGCTTTTGTGTAGTGTGTATGGTATCACACCTGTACAGGAGAGAACAACAGGTACAATAAGCACCCTATCCATCCTCCACAGATGCCTTATTTCCTGGGCAAGTTCTGTGTACTTGCTAAATTTTTCAGTGCATGTGTTTTGTACATTGTGAGTGTTTGGAATGGCTATGTCTATAATGTATGTG